GAAGGGGAAGGCAATATACAATAAGAGGGAGGTTGGCAAAAGAATGATGGAGGCAGGGGAAGACTTGGTGGAAGACGCAAGAGTTAAAAGTCAACAGAGGTAACTACTGTTATATACACAATTCTGCAATAACTGATCTATAAATAGATATACATGGATAAATATGCAAACTGACTAAGGGTTGAGGGGAGGGGGAGTACACCTAAAAATATGTAAAAGTTTAACAGAGAATATTTGTATATGGGTATTCACCATTTCTGCAAACATATCCATCGATGTGGTAGAGTCATACAGGGACAAAGATATGAAAACTCCTTAAACATGACCAAAGACCTTGTAGAATGAGTTGTTGGTCCTGGTGACTTAGGACCACAGCTTCTGGGAACACATGGTCAAGTGGCAATAACATAGTCCCCCGAGACAGTATTCTACATCCTATTTTCGTAAGTAGTGACTGGACTCTTAAAAGTTCACGAGAAGTCATCTGTAGGTATAACTACTGGCCTCTCCCTGTCCAGAGGACAGAAAGAAGAATACTGAAAATTGAAGACTCCTAGAAACAATTAGTTCAGAGGATTAATGGGTCACATGAACATCAGCCTCCACGACCTTCAGATCCAAAGAGCTAGATGGAGCCACTATCAATACCACCTTCTCTGAAAGGAAATCACATTAGAAGGTCCTGGATAAAGTGGGAAACAACCTGGAACAAAACCCCAAATAAAAAAAAAAAAAAAAAAGACCAGTTTTGTTAGGCAGATAGTGACTGATAGAAGTCTCATGGCCTTTATAACCTTCAAGTCTGGAACTAAACTTGCCCCCATGGCTCAATCTTTAGCCAAGCTGGGGGGGGGGGGGCAACACTAGTTAAGTACTCACACCATAAAACAGAGCAATCCATTCAAGTTCAAAAGGGCAGCATTTACACAAGGAAAAGCAGAAGGAACAGGGAAGATGGAGGAATGGAAACAACACAGGAGGAAGTGGGATAAATGATGTTACAGTGTGGGGACTGCAATCGCTGAGCTCAAACAAAGTACAAAACTGTTGAATGTAAGTTTGATGATCTGCTCTGCAAACCTTCACTCAATTCATAAAAAGTTTTAAGAAAATAATTTGAATTTTGTTTTTTTAAACATTATTGATATTTATTTAACTGAATAAAATTATTCTAGTGTCTCAAAAACTCGTCAATAAGGTATCATTATCTCTATTTTACATATAAACAATTAAGCTTAAGCGAGAATAGGTCAGGTTTTTCTGAGTTTGCAATCAACACCCATGGAAGTAGCAGCAGAGAAACCATACAATATATTGCTCTAAAGAGCAAAGATGTCACTTTGAGGACTAAGGTGTGTCTGACTCAAGCCATTGCTTCATTGCTTCACATGAATGCAAAAGCTAGGCAATGAATAAGGAAGACCAAAGAAAAACTGATACATATGAATTACAGTGTTGGTGAAGAATAGTGACTATACCAGAACAAACAAACTTATCTTAGAAGCACAGCCAGAATGTTCACTTACTGTGGACATGTTTTCAGGAAGGACCAATTCTTGGAGAAAAACACCATGCTTGATAAAGTAGAGGGTCAGCAAAAAAGAGAAAGGCCCTGGATGAGATGAACTGACAAAAGGGCAGCAACAATGGATTTAAACACACCAAGAGTTGTGAGGCTCATCTCACAGGACACCCAGCGGTGTTTGGTTTTTAACATGAGGCCACTATGAGTTGGAACTGACTCAAATATAGTCTGAAACAATGATGTAGGTAGACAGCAGCAAAGAAGTTTCAAGCCTGAAGCAAGGTGGGTTTCACTGGAAATTACTGGAAAAATAAACTAATTAAAGGAACCCAGAGTGAAAACACCATGCTCAGCATGTCTGCTAGAACACAGCTAAATATAAAATTGCCCTAAATGAACAGTTTCCCAGGCGGAGAGATTGTCTCACAAAATCCAGCTGCTCACATCCTGGAGCCCACATCCTGGGCTACTATGGTCACGTCCTTTGTTCGTATGCAAAAACTTGCTTAAAATGGTCTTTCAAAAACTCGTGAGGCTAGAACAAATTTGAATCTTACCCAGAGCAGCCCAGAATGTCCACATTAACCAGCTCTAACTTTCCAGCTGGGGACGTTGTCAAATACATTCCACAATGAGTGATGGGCAGCATCCCAGAAGTCTTTACAACAACATCTTGCAAAAAGACTGCACACATATCCACTTACTGTGACCCCTACTAACTGGGAAAATTCCAGGAAGAACAGCCCGGTTTCTTTGCTCCCTCGTTTCTCTCATTATCATAACAAATTTTAAGTCCTGCTTAAAATTTGCTCAGGTTGCTCAGATGCTTCAAAGCCCGCTGAGTCTCCCCTTGTCAGGGCACTTTCACTCCCAGTAAGTTCCTTGCTTGTGTAATAAACCTGTTCTCTTGCTTCCTTACTCTGACTCAGCAGAGAACCTTGCATCTAGGGAAACAGCCTGCAACAAGCTGAGCTCTTCACGTCTTCTCACACTAAAGAAAACATTTTCTCTCTCTTTTTTTAACATTTTATTTTGATTTGGTTTAAAGTTTACAGAGCACATTAGCTTTTTATTCAACGTTATGTACTTATTTTGTTTCGTGACATTGGGTGCATTTCCCTCAATGTGACCGCACTCTTCCCACTACCTCCACCCAGCGTCCTTGTTTTCATTTGTCCTTCTTTCCTGCCCCTTCTCCTGCTTTGTTTTAGGGCAAACGCTGCTCATTTGGTCTTGTATGGTTCATTGTTCTCAGGAGTATGTTGCTCACAGATATTATACTGTTCACTTTATAGGCCTATCTACTTGCTCCTCACTATGAGTCGGAACCGACTCAACAGCACTTAGTAACAACCACCACTCCTAGGAAACCCTATACAGGTCCGCTATGTGTTGGAACCAGCTTGATGGTACTTAACAACAACAACATTGTTTAGCTGAATGGTGATGCTCAGGGATGGGTTCAGTGCCAGGGTTACAAAGTGAGGCACTGCGGGTTAATGTGTTGGACTGCAAGGTTGATTTGAACCACAAGGTCGGCGGTTCAAGTTCACCAGCTACTCCTTGGAAACCCTATACAGAGTGGCGATGAGTTGAAACCAACTCGACAGCACTTAACAACAACAAGAGACAGTCTCTGGGGTTCCACTAGTCTCTGTCAGACCATTAACTGTGGCCTTACTATGTTACAAATTGTATTTCTGTTGTTATGGACTGAATTGTGCCCCCTCAAAATTTGTTTGAGTTCTAACCCCTATGCCTGTAAATATGACACTATTTGGAACTAGAGCTCTTTCTTTTGTTATGTTAATGAGGCTAGGCCAGAGTAGGGTGGGTCCCAAACCTAATCTCTTCTCAGTGGTCTTATAAAAAAGACCCGAATAAACACAGACATTCACACAAGGGAGGGAAGGCAGACACCACGTGAAGACCCTTCTACATGACCAGAAAGGCCAAGGCAGGCCTGGAGCAGGGCTCTAATTTGAACTCACAGTAACGTCTTGTTCTTTAAAGCCACCCACTTGTGGCATTTGTGTCAATGGCAGCCCCAGGCAACTAAGATACCTGGTTAGAGCATGACTTACAATTTAGTTACAACTCTCATATTTCACTAGGCAATTAGCTGCAAAATATTTTGGCATTTGTTGACAAATATTTATTTTGTGAAGATGTTAAAGAGAACTATGAACAAATACATTTCTACAGATAACTAAGTTTTGTCAGACCAAGTCTTGGAAAGGGAGTCAAGATACTGGGTTAATCTAAATTTCTCATCCTTAAGGATCCTGTTGTTGTTGTTGTTGTTAAGTGCCATCGAGTCGGGTCCGACCCATAGCGACCTTGTACATTAATCTCTTGCTGCCTTGAGAAATCAAAAGTCCATAATATAAAAAAATTTGATCTATCAAGATATTAAATATTTACCATTACACTAAAAAATTTCAAGGTACTGAATATAATTTGTAAGTCCTCAGCTGATACTCTACCCTTTCCCCTGCCCCCCATCATACATACTTCTCAGTCACAGGCCCCATCCTCAGTTTATTAAGAACAATGTTTGTTTTTAAGTCTTTCAGACACTAGTCAAGCTGTCTCTAGACTAAGCAGAGCTTTACACTAGGATAATGTAGAAAGAAAAGTGAAAGTCTGGCCCAGAGCGCAGTTAGCTGGGATTCCAAAGGTCTTGTGATTCAAAGGACAGTGCTCTTTCCATGAAACAATTCCTTCTTTTTCTTTTCAAAAAGTAAATATTTCACATCTCAATTACGTAAATCTCTAAGACTTACTCAGTACTTTTGTGACTTTATTTAAAGTATAGGTGTGTTGTTGTTGAACATCTTATACACCAGTGACCAGCAGCCCCCTCATCACCTAGGCAACCCAGTGCTCTGATGGTCACACACTAGGCTCAGAATCTCTCAACAATCTTGAATCCAAGTGCCCTCTGCCCATCCTACCTACCCTTGGGCTGCTCCCACCAAAAGTGCTCTCCAACCTCCCCCAGACTCCCACCCAGAAACAATAGCTTCTGTTTGCTCTTCTGTCAAGCTCCCCCCAACTGCAGTGCCTTCCCTGGCCAGCACGCACCAGCTTTCAGCCATCAGGGTCCATCCCAAGGACTTCAGATACCCCAAACCAAACTCGTAGCCACTGAGTCCATTCAAACCCATAGTGACTCCTTACGGCAGAGCAGATGGCCCTATAGGGGTTTTCCAAGACTGTACACCTTTCTCCAGCAGAGTGGCTGGTGGGTTCAAACCATTAACCTTTCAGGTAGCAGCCAAGCAACAGATAATGGTATCCATCCCCCCCCGCCCCCCCCTCCCACACAAATGTTTTTGGAAATCTTATTATGAGCTTTACACATTGAACCCTTTGTTTTTTGCTAGTTCAGATTTGTGAAGAATAGCATGTAAAGAAATATGGAAAACTTGGAGATTGAAAAGGAATCTTGTGGCCCATTTGTCCAACTCACCTCTTAGTTTTCTTGTAATCTTCCAGCTGCTGGGACTGCATGTGCTTGTAGCGTTCTAACTCGCACTGTCCACATAGATCTTCAAGATGCAACAGGTGGTTTTCTACCTCCTCAAAACTCGCCTCTAAATGAGCTGAAAACATATAAAGAAATACCTGTCAGAAGTCAGAAACCTTGATCATGGAGACAAGAAAACGTGTCAGAAAGCTAAAACTTTAAACTGTTGTGACTGCTTTGCATTGCTGAATATGCTTTACTCAACCTGGAGTAAAAACGTGCTGTGTCTTGGTTTAGGTGTATTTCAAATGATCCTCTTTGAGTGTAATTTAAACATTGTCAAGATATCACTTTCCCCAATAATTCCCTCTATTAACCAGCGTGGTGAGGAAATGCACCATTGGGATTCTTCTACTGCTGTACCACCCTAACGATCCCATACTACACACGAGTAACCAGCTAATACAATGAATACAAATTATATCGAGCGCTATCTTGTATTTGAGATTCTAAGTTGCTTTAGCATTTGCTTTGCCTCTGGCACATCATATGCATCAATGTTTAAGGGATGAAACAGTAAGTACAGATCCCCAGGCTAAGTCAGTGTGTGAATGGGGAGACTCCAGCTCACTTCACCTGGGCAATCATTTTCATCACTCTGCCTAGAGTCCACTATAAGGCACCCTGGTGACACTGTAGGGTAAGCATTGGGCTGCTAACTGCAAGGTCGGTGGTTCAAACCAACCAGTCATTCCGCAAGACAAACCAGCTGTGTGCCTCTTTGAGATGAACAGTCTCAGAAACCCCCAGAAAATAGGGTCGTTATGAGTTGGAATCGACTCAATGGCAGTGAGTTAGGTCAACAAACCAAAACAAAACCTACTGCCCTGGAGCTGAGCTTTACAAGACTCAAAACCTAGAGGAATTAATTCCATGCCTTGCCTCAAATCACAGTCAGGAGTCAAAGCCAAGCTCCTCTTGTACTACAAAGACCTGCAATGAAAAGAATGTTACGTAAACCAACGCCTGTCAGTCACAGGCGTGAGGAATGGTGGTTTTCTTGTATAATGGAAAAGCTTAGGGATGAAAACTTTTAGAACATTAACAGCATCATCATCATTTACCCAACACCCACTACATATGCCAGTCACTGTGCCAAGCAGGGGGACAGAAGGATGCAAGAGGCAATGCTGTGCCCAGGGATGGATGGTGGAGGGGACAGTTCTCATGAACAATACAGTGTGTAGCAGACAGGCATGAGGTGCTGCAGGAACATGAAGGAGTGGGGTGGCATCTAGCAGATGGCGGGGATACCCAGGTCTGGAAGAAAGTAATCCAGGGGAAGGGAGCAGCCAGATGGCTGTGTGGCTCTCCCATGGTCACCTAGCTGCTTCACAGGTCTGCTCGTTTTCCAAAGACTTTCTCAACCAGTTTCACAGCTCTCCGGTCATCTCACCATGCAATCTGCAATCCTGGGTTAACCAAGATGCAAACTTTTCATCTTTCTTGGCTGCAAAGACCTATTAACTCCAGAAACATATGCATTTTCTAATATCTTAAATTTTAAAGGGGGGTTTCTACCTATGTGTGGTGCTGTGGGTTAATGCACTAGACTGCAAAGCCATCTGAACTGCAAGGTATGGTGGTTCAAGCTCACCAGCTGGAAACCCTATACAGGGTCACTATGGGTTGGAACAGACTCAGTGGCACTTAACACCACAACCACCACATATGGATGGCCATACTTCATCTCTCCTACTTCTTTCCTAGTATCAGGAAGGACCAGTCCCCGGTGAAGGACATCATGCTGGGTAAAGTGGAGGGTGACAGAAAAATAGGAAGACCCCCCCCCCCCCAATGAGATGGACTGGCACAGTGGCAGCAGCAATGGGCTCAAGTGTAGCAGCAGTTGTGAGTTTGGCAAAGGACCTGGCAGTGTTTCTTTCTGTTGTGCATAAGGTCGTTATGAGTTGGTACCAACTCGATGGCACCTAACACCACCACCACCTATGTGACTTTTAGTAAGGCACTGTCTTTAAAATGTCCAACCCTTCTATGTAGAAGGTAGAAGGGTTGGGCCTAAAATTTAAAGACATGGTTATGTCACTTAAGAGTAAAAATATGAAGACTAAGTAGTTTAGCACCTCTCTTCAAAGAAGTTTCAGGTACTGACTTTTATTCTATCAACGCCACCACTATAAACCATTTGTAAGTCTGCAAAAGGCTGATGATAATGTAGATTATAATGGTTTAGACTCTCTCTTCACAGGCCCCATAACACAGCTAATGTATGTGATTATGGGAAGCCTAACTGAAATGATTAAATTAGCAAAATCGAAATATTAATACACAGTTATAACTAAAACACTTAATAACTATTTAATATTTATTATGGTTTGATAAATATTAATTTAAAGAAATTTATAAATGGTATGTTGTTGTTGTTGTTATGTGCCGTGGAGTCGGAACCGACTCATAGCGACCCTGTACAGGGTTTCCGAGGGTGTAAATCTTTACGGGAGTAGAAAGCCTCCTCTTTCTCCCGCGGAGCAGCTGGTAGTTTCGAACTGCTGACTTTGCGGTTCACAGCCCGAGTCGTAACCACTACGCTACCAGAGCTCTATAAGGAACTTATTTGGGGAAAATAGGATGAATAACATTTTTACATTTGATTATTTTTCAGTGATTTTATTAAACCAAAAACAACTATGGCAGTCAGCCTGGGATCCTGGCACTGAAAAAGCCACACTTAGTTCACGCTGTTATAACTGGTTTGATTGGATCTTAGCATGTACAAAAGGCAATCATAGTTAATAGGATTATATAAAAGGCTACTTTACCTTGATTATGGATAAGAACTAGAATAATTAAATTTAATATGGAATCCATGAACTCTAAGCTACTTGGAGTCCTGGTGTGGCGCTGTAGGATAAGTACTGGACCATTAACTGCAAAATCAGTGGTTCTAGCCCACCAGTCTATACAGGGTCCCTGTGAATCAAAACTAACTTGACGGCACTTAGCAACTCAGTCCTTCAGTGGTATGTACGCTCTTCTAAACACACAGAGGCCTGGCTGGGAAGTAGGGTTTTGGCGGTCAAGCATGGAAACCCAGCTCTGCCTCTTACAGAAAGGTGAGACCTCATCTGTGAAAAGGGGGCTATCGATACAATTAGCCAAAGTAGGTAGAGTACACAACGTAGCATTTGGTGGAAGTAAACCTTCAATGGGAGTCCTGGTGGGGCGCTGAAGGACCAGTACTAGAATGATAACCACAAGGTTGGTGGTTCAAGCTCACTAGATGCTCCTTGGAAACCCTACACAGGGTCACTATGAGTTAAAACTGACTCAACAGCACTTCACAACCACAAATCTTCAATTAATTGTTGAGTGAGAAGGGACAGGGGAAGAATAGAAAGAAAAATTTTATCGAATCAGGTAAGCTTTGTAAAAGTTATCTAAAACTAGCAATTTTGTTGATCAATAATGATCATGATGCAAATACCGCTTGGTCTGTTAAGATCAAAGTATCAATCACATTATCTCTATTTCTGACAAACTTAAGTATCTATAAATTATACCCAATCTATATTAAATCTATATTCTTAGATCTAAAACCAGACTGCTAACTATAACTGATGAGGTTCAAACTCAACAGTTGCTCCTCGGAAACCCTATACAAGAACACTAGGTGTTGGAACCGACTCGACTTCACAAAAATAGATAGCCCTGGTGTGTCACCAGTTCAAATCCACCAGCCACTCTTGGAAACTCCAAGGGTCACTAGGAGTTGGAGCTGACTCAATGGCATTTAACAGTAGGTAAAGAAAAAGAGCACTAGTGATGAGGGATAAGCACTGGACTGCTAACTACAAGGTCAGCAGTTCAAAGCCACCAGCTGTTCCATGACAAAGAGAAGGCTTTCTGCTCCCATAAAGATTGACAGTTTCAGAAACCCTAATGTAGGAATCGACTCAGTGGCTATGAGTTTAGGTTTGGTATGTGGTTGCTGAGTGCTGTCAAATTGGTTCTGACCCATAGAGACTCTGTATAAGGTTTCTGAGGAGCAGCTGGTAAGCTTGAACTGCCAACCTTGTGGTTCAAACTGACTTTGCAGTCCAGCGCATTAACCCACAGCATCACACCAGAGGAAAAGGAGCCCTGGTGGCACTGTGAGTTAAGCGCTGGGCTGGAGAAACACTGGGGTGGGAGGGGCTCTACTTTGTCCTATAGGGTAGCTAGGAGATAGAATGGACTCATTGCAGATAGGTTTATAAATGAAGGTGATTAAATTTCAAATGATTTTTTTAAAAAAGAAAATCTGTCATAGAATCAATAATTTATGTTGAAAAACTACTACATTCTTTTTACCTTGTTTTGATTTCAGGTGCGCAGATGGCAATTGCTATTTAGGTTCTAGTTCAGTTGGTTGACTACAGAGCTAATGAGGCCAGGCTGGTGAATGGGTTTGATCCTCATGCCAATTAATTTTCACCGCGGAGTTCTAGACCTGATGCCCAAGTCACTCTTCTGTTAGTAACATGGGTAGACCAGGTGAAAATATGTCTGGCATCACATGTAGAGTGCCAAAATTGAACTAATGTCTCTTGGAGTAGATAATGGTCATTTTATTTGCTACTTACTGTCATAGTTACATTTATGTTTGTTGTTAAGTGCCACTTAGTCAGTTTGCCTTGTAACAACCCTGTTTAGTGTTTCCAAGGAGCAGCTGGTGAGCTTGAACTGCTGACCTTGAGGTTAAAAGCAACCTTGCAGTCCAGTGCATTAACCCATAACAAACACACCAGGATTCTAAAGATGTACTTTCAAAGGCTCCTCAGTTCCCTTCAGAATCTAGGAAAAGGCTTATCAATGCATTAAGGGCCTACTGCCCTCTAGCTATAGACAAGTTTTACAGTCTTACTATTACTTTCCTATATGTAGTCCACATTGGAGTCCTGGTGTAGCATTGTGGGTTAATGTGCTGAACTGCAAGGTCACTTTAAACCACTAGATCAGCAGTTCAAGTTCACCAGCTGCTCCTCAGAAACCCTATACAACAAGATCTTTATGAGTTGGTACTAACTCAACGGCAGCACTTAACACAACATTAGAGTAAAATGGGGTCACTCATTT